TACCCCCCCCCCCCCGCTCATAGGGACTGCGTACAGTTGATCATAGTTCCTGGGCTCCCTGTGATAAAATGAACAAAAACAAATTACACAACTAACCAAACATATGAATGCAAATTGCAGATTAGATTTGGATTTGCACACTGCACTTTACCTTTTCAAACATGTGACCGGTATCACTCCAGCTTTTCCAGTTACAATAAACCCAGTTGTTAGCCAATCGCTGAGCTAGGTCGTGTGCGCCATCCAATGAGCTATCAGCAAGTCCTGTTATTAGCATTTCTTGTAATGGCGGCCAGGCATTTGGGAAATCCCACTGTTGTCCACTTTCTCTCATGGACGTGGGCACGCCACAATTGTACCCCAGTGCTCCTTCTCTCTATGCGTCAAAAGGTCAGAGTTCACAGACACATCAATATTAATATACACATGTATTAACGTTGTTCTCTGAGATCATTCATATGACTCTTATGTGAAACAGTTTATAGTCTACACAATGATCCCAAAATCCTAATAATCTATATGAATGATTTCTTAGTGTACCAAAAACACTAAAATGTGGAGAATATTTATATTAAAAAACGAATGTATGATTTTCCATGAAATAAAGACAGCAAATAAAGGCAGCAAATATTTTCGTTCGATGAATTGCAAATATTGATATTTTTGAAGTTAAAAGTGTATTTTTATTTATCAATAAATTATGTTTTTAAGAATATGCAACAACTATTTAAAGCGTGGTAGTCATGTAAATAAACAATGTATTTTACAGGCGTTTTATACGTCGCTATGAGTCCCTTCCACCTTTTAAACATGTCGAAGACACTCAAATGTATCCACTCTTTGCTTTGTTAATCTACACCAATAGATTTGCGTTTACATTGACACTGTGACACTCACCTCGAAATATTTCATGAGAGATTTAATCCTATTTTCATCACTGTCGTCATAGCAGCCAGCCCAAACTGGTGCTACGGACGATAAATAATATTCATCGTCCAATAACTTTCCATTCTCTACATCATAATCGAACCAGGCGCCAATCGATGGATCAAACAAAACTGTGTTTATAGCATAGCGCCTCTTTTCGTATGCTGTCCTGTACTCTTCACTCTTAGAAATGTTGCCTAAACGTAAAAACAAAACGCCTTCAAGTAACACAATAGGTGACAAAACTCTTTTAGGAGAAGTGTGATGCATT